TGTATTTTGATGACTGACTCTATCCATCTATCCATTTATCCATCTATCCATCTATCTATCTATCTATCTATCTATCCATCTATCCATCTATCTATCTATCTATCTATCTATCCATCTATCTATCTATCTATCTATCTATCTATTTATTTATTTAGTTATTTATTTATCCAATTTTATTTGCTGGCTTCCATTTCTCTAAAACTACGCTCTTTTCTTGCTTGGCTGATGATTACTGAAGACAGTAATTGCCTTAAATTAGATTGCTATTTTTTTCAAAGATATTATGCAGCAAGCAAATTCCATTTGTTAAAATCTTTTTTTTTGCATTTATTTTTCTTTCTGAAAAAAATTTCAGTCAAAGTTAATTCCTTTTTTATTAGTTTGAAAAGTTTTGTTTTTACTTTTCTAACAGACAAAATTTCATTTTAATAAACAAAAAAATAGACATTGCATGTTTGCTTCTTTCTATCACAAATGAATTTTGTGGAGCATTTTTCGAGCTTTCGAGTTTTTGTTGGCTCTTTACTTAATAGTAAGTGAGGTTAAACGTTAAAAGTTAAAAATAGCAACTGAGATTAACTACTGTACTAACATAAATAATAGTTTTGAAAATTAATTTAACTCTTACAAATATTACAATTTTAAAATGTAAACATTCCTACCAGAAATTCGAAAAAGTAGAACTAACAAGTACTGTACAGTGTACAGGAAATATTATGATTTTCCATCGCAAAAATATTTACTTCAGTTTAGCAATGATTTGATGTTACTGATAGATAGTAAGTTGAGATTGCAAATAGCAACAATACAAATAATCACTATAATTAAGTTTGGCAAAAATTGTGATAAAGAAAGTGATCAAAGATGATCAAAATCATGTGCATATTGGAATGAATATGTGACATAATAACAGAGCGAAATAAATGTGTTCGAAGAAAATTAACCATTTATTATCTTTAAAATTAACAAAATAATTGAAATGTACGTTTATAGTACAAATAAAACTACTACAATGTGCACTGCTTTTCATCACAGTTTTTATCATGAAAGTATTTTGTGTGAACTATCACTGACCAAGAACTATCACTCATACAAGAACTATCACAAACAAGAACAAGAACTCAAACAAGAACTGTCACTGACCACCAAACAAGAACTATCACTGACCTGCTGACCTTTATTAAGTAAAAAGATGAGAAAAAGTTTTGTAAGTCTTAGTTTGTCAATTTTTTTAAATTTTACTTGCTAGTAAAAACTAGAATTTAAACCATACTCGACTAAACATTTGTTTTTTCATTTTATTCTGATAAAGATGATTTATTATGAGTAATTAATGAGTTGTGTAAAGAATACTGTAACTTTAGAGTTTATTGTATAAAACTGTTAGGTAAAAGTTATATATTTTGTGAATTTTACCTGTTAATGAAGTAACTTACTGTAAAAGGATAATGATAGATGAAGTTGGACATCATGCTGAGACATCTCTTTTATCTTATTCAATCAAGGTTATCATAGTAAAATTTATCATTCCATCACTACTACCATACTCATATTATTCATTAATATTTATTCTACTCTATTATTTTTATTAAAATTTGACAAAGACAACAAATGTAAATGTGTAAAAATAAATTGGAGCAAATTTTAATAATTAAAAAAATTTTGTAAAAATTTGAATGAAATTTTTGATAAATAAAAATTCTAGCTTCAAAAATTAATTTAAACATTTTACAAAAATTAATTCCAAAAAATTGAAATAAATATATTGCACTATAGTGATACTATTAATAATAATAACAATAATAATCATTTATATTGCGATTATATTAATGTTCTTAGGAATTACAATGATAATCACTGCAATTATAATTATGATCATAAATATGGCTGTAATTATGCAAAAATGATGCATTATAAATATCATCATTGTATTTTAATGCAAACAAAAAAACTGCCACAGACTTGCAACAAATTTTTTCAAACAAACAAACATTTGCATAATTATGCAAATCTCCTCACTTCTTTTTTCCTCCAAAATTTTCAAATAAAATGTTTATTTCGCTATGATTTTGTCCGATTAAATAAAGTACGCAGAAGAGACGATTACGTTGTTAAATTCGTTAAATGGCAGTACAACCTTGACATTTTTTCAATATTTAAATTGCTAAGAATTATCTTTTGTGCAAAAAAAGAATGAAAAAAACCACAGGCTTATTATTTATTATGAGGATAATATGGAATTGATTGAAACGATTACTGATTAGTAAAAAATTGTAGTGAGAGCTAGAGTTATGAGAGTTAATGATAAAAAATTAATTAGCAATTAAGTATAATTAATACAAGAATAAATGTATTAATGACAATAATAAGAGAAAGCAATAAATATGCAAATTAGATTGATTTTTATTTACTAAATGATGATAAATTGAATGTGCAAAAAATTTTGTATTATAATAACAATAAGAAACAGAATTAACAATGATTGCTTGCATATTGATGAGTGAATCACATTGATCTGACCAGATCAGATCTGTCACAATTTGCTTATTTTATAGTCAATTTCTGAATTTTCACAAAGATTGATTGCATGGACAATTAATGTATGCAAATTTTATGAAAAAAAAGCTAAAAAATAAAAACATATGGATGAAATATGGAACAATTCGAATAAGCATTACATGTTATTCATAAATCTTAAGTAATGTTTATTTTAATGACTGATTAATTTTTGAAAATGCAATTTTGTGATTTATTTCTGAGAAATTAATTGCGGAAATCAAAAATCGTATAAGTATATTATGTATTCAAGTAAAAATTAAACTGTGTTATTTATAGTGTCTTGAAAAAATCACTGTGTGGAAGTGAAGTCTATGATCAAAATTAATGATAAGATAAGTTTTGGTCAAAATTATTCAGGTGGAATTAACTTCATCAAACTGATATAATTAGCATTCCTTTCAATATTGTCCTATTTTTACCTTTATTTTATGCGTAAAAGGATAAGTTTATTTGTATTTTTGCCATGTTTGTCAAATAATTTTAGATAGATTGTATAGATTTACTCAGTGATGTATCTTTAATGATTATCCGGTCAATTATGCAAATATACTGCTCTCATTGACCTGTATGAAAGGTTGCTGACCTTTACTCTTCATTCCTCTTCCGCTTACTGAACCATTTTATTCTTGTAATTAACATTGCACCGCTTCATTTCAACATGTAAAGTGAGCTCTTTGCAAATAGATGACATGTTTATATTCACTTAAGCAAATAATTTTTTAAAACAATATTTTAAATTATAACAGAAGTATTAATTTAGGGTTACATAATTTATTAATAATTGTTGTGTTATTATTTTTGATCCACTAATTGCCACTTGACCTAGCAGACAATTAATCAAAAATGATTTTAAAATATATTGAAATATATGCATTAATCAGTCAGTTAGCAGACATTCAGTTTTAAGGGATCATCTTTATTTGCATAAAAAATTGATGACAATATTCGCTGACCTTCAACCTTTCTTTTGACTCATTAAAAAGTCATCTATCATTCTTCATAATCTCATCTCAATCTAACGAAAGTTCATTGCACATACAGCCACATACGTTCACACAGTATATTCAGACGTGCGCGTACATATATTTTAACACATATACGTATAAAACACTTATTTACATATTTATGCCTATGAATATATACATGTATATATATATACATATACACTGATGAGCATACCTGTAAATTACATTAATATTCAGATTCATTCAAACTAAAAGTACAATAGAAGAAAGGTAGATCTATTATCAAAAATTTCAGGGAAGTTTGTAATTGGAAAGCCTGAATTTAAAATTACGATTGCAAAAAATATTAAATAAAAATTAATCCAAAAAACGACAGTGTCATTTGTCGTTCTTACGAATTTAAGTTCTGATCCTTAATATATAAACACATTTAGTGACTTTTATACAAGTGATAATAATAGCGTATATACTTGAATCCCACCATATTTTGTACTTAAATATACGTTATATTAATATACGGTTTCTGATCCGTCAGCTGTCATATTTCGAGCAGATCTTTCATTGACTTTGCTTGAATAACTGCACGATTGGATGACATGCAGAAAAACTACGTAGTCAGCTGATGCCTTCATTCTTCATTAGTTTGTATTATTAAAAATGAAATTTATGATACTTTTTTTGTGTACGAAATGGTAAAGCAGTTGTTAATAGGAACAAATGACATACTTTTTTAGTATATGTGTAGTAATTAAGCGAAGCAGATCAGTTACGCATGTATGAGGTTGTGATCCGTCTGTAATCTGAAAAAAGTTATCAGAAATTTTTTACTCATGCTGTTTCATTCTTGACAGTGACTAATAACAATCGAAATAATTCATAACATTTAAATATAATTTACAAATAATTATAGTTAATAATTTTTAAACTTATAAGTAACTTTTTGTTACTCTTCAAAATGTTCTTAAAATTGACTTGCTGATAATTGTTATTGAATGATTAAAGAAAAACTGATTTGATTGATATTGTTGTTATGAATATAGGAAATGCTTTGAAGTTCACACTTAAAATTGAATAATTAGGAATTAAAAAACAAATTAGACAGAGCGTAACAGAATTAATGCTACTGCTAGTGTGCTGCTTCTGCACAACTCTACCAGTACTGTACTGTATGAAACAGAGAACAATTGCTTCTTGTCTGTCATTTGTTAGCTTTGTCTAAATTAAATTAGTCTAGCTAGCAACAAAAGTCGACAAATGTTGCATTTAAACATGTCAGTTAGTATTACTTGCAGTGCTTTTCATCCATCCATCCATCCATTTACTACTTTATAATCTCTTCAAAATTCAACAACTATTCAAATGTTCAGCAATGACTTAGAAATGAACAATCTAACAAATGTTCTCATCAGAAACCTTTGTCAGTTTGCAAGCAACTTTATGTTTCTCAGAGTGACTGACTGATTCGCAAGCATTAATTAATTCACTGCAACAGATGTGTTCTTAGTTATTACACTTACATTTACAAGTTATTTTCAAAATAACTGTTTTCATTTATGTAATATTTTAGCAGCAAGAAAAAGTTTAATAATTTTATTTTCAGAATTTGATTGTGCAATAAAAAGGTTTAATCTGAAGTTGTCGATTTATACAAATAAATTAAGTGCTATGATTTTTTTTTTAATTATCAAGTAAAGCATTAATAAAAGTAAACTTTAACTTGGAAAAAATTTGAATAAATTGATTTCAAACCATTTAAAAAAGTAAAAGTTATGTACAATGACAATTTCAGATTTGATATAAGTAATACAGATCACGTAATGTCCGTGAAATTGTTAGATCGTATTACGATCATTTGTCCTCAACCAAGTATCAAACCATGGATGCCTTACGAATTCACTAAATTATATGCGGTTAGTTTCAATTATAATTTACTCTTGTAGTTCAGTTTTTAATTATTTCATAATAAAAGTAATAATAATAATAATATTTAATCATAATAATTAATAATATTAATGATAATAATGATGTAATAATAATATTATTATTAAGAAAAAGAGGAATAGCAACAATAATAACAGCAATAATATTTTTGTCAGTCATGTAACCGATAGACTTCTCGTAATCATAACTGTGTAAGCATTACATTTTATATAATTACAATTTTTTGTCATTATTAAATTTGTATTAATATAATACCTTGAAAATTTAATATTCCAAGTCGAACTATTTGAAAAAAGTTAATACTTTCAATTATCATTGAAAGCTTTATTTATAGCCAGAGAAAACTTTCTTCAGTTAGCAATTCGAAAATAGAAATTTCAGACTACCTCCATATGCTTCAACCATAATTATTAACAATCCTGAATTCTTTACTTACACAAAGTTCTTCTAAAATCTGAAGAAAAAATTCTCAATTGAAGTACTGTAATATGCAAATAAAAACTACAGTTTTGTGGGCAAAGAAAAAATGTTTTTGGTGAAAGTATTTGAGATCTTTTTGAAAAATATATTTAAGCAGCACAGTGCAATTCAAAAATTTTGCATTTCTGGTTGCAAACAAAGAGAAGATTCATTTGATTTCTGATTGTTCCAATTTTAGTATTTTTAATAATTGCAAGTAATTTTGCAAAACTTTGAAATATTGAAGAAAATGTGCACATATACTGTAATCTGTAAAAATTTCGCGTATTGTTTGATTTCTGTACACGACCTTTCAACTTTTTCTAGCAAAAAAATGAAACTAATGGCCAGTTTTGGTCAGTAAATGTTATTAAAAAAGTCTAAAACATTTAAGTATGAAATGTTTAATTTCTCTCTAATTTGAAATGCAATCCGATGGTAATGTAATAATTAATGATTTTCAAAACTTGACAAAAATGTTGAATAGTGTGCAGTAAATAAAAGTAATATCGTCTCTTGAGTAGCCATAAATAAATTTATATCAGAAATCCTATGCATTTATTATTTCATATTGAGTTCTTACACTATATATTACAATTATTTGATTTCCGATTGTACTTAAATTGCAATATTGCAGTAATTAAATTACAGTTATCTTCAAATATTCAGACTTTTTAATTTATATTCAATGTTAGCAATGTATTTCGTTTTCGGATATTATATTTAAAATGCAAATTTTGTTTAAATTGCGCGTAAATTTTGAATTACAAACTTTCAATTATTATTCACAATGAACCGATCTGAAAATATTTTTTCCAACAAACTGCAAAATGATAATAAAATTAATAATAAAACTATTCATTTTTTCAGATTAAAAAACGGTATGATATGGTATGATCTGAATATAATTGCTAACAAAAAAATATACTTTTTTAGTTATTAAAAAAGTGTGTAATTTTTTATAATATGCAAATGAAGGAAAGATCAAATGGATTTGGCATAATATTCTAGTAGAAAGAGCTAATAAAGCAAAAATTTGTCGGTTTTTACTTTTTTATAGTTAATTCTTTGTTTGATTTACTTAGCAAATATTTGTTATGTACTCTCAGTTAAAGCAAATACTTACAAGAGTAACGATAAATACGTAGCAAAGGTTATTACTGGTACAATCCTTAAATCAACAAAGTCAATCCATTCATAATCCGACATGGAAAAGTAGCAATATGACAAAAAATAAAGAACAAAAGTTACGGATTAAAGTTTTTTTTTCACGTTTTATGCACGCATATGACGGAGCTCAGTTTTATATATGTTGACTAAATGTAAGGCAGTTTTTTTCAGCGATAAAATTAATCCGAATAGAAGCTTAAATTCTTTATTTACTGTAGAACTATTTTAAGAATTCTTTTGATTAATGTCCAAATTGAAATTGTAAATTTTCATTGCCATAATATTTTTTCAAATTTTCAAAATAAAAATAGCACATAAATTTATATGCAAAGATATTAAAGGATAAAAATTTTTATCAATGTTTTATTTCAAAATACTCAAAATAAATTGAAACTTCTAGCATTTAAAAATAGTTTAATTCCTTTCTTATGTTATTGTATACTTATTGCTATCAAAAAGTTTTCTTTTACAAAATTACTAAAATAAATTTGAAAATTTTTACAGTAACCAGAAAAGAAAAAAGACTTAACTGTATTTGATAGTTGTGGAAGATCATGCAAAAAGTACCGCACATAATTTAGATAGATCGCAAGGAGATAACCTTATAACCAGTGTCATCAGATAGTTATTAATTAGCTCGTAAACTTGACAAAATTACGACTACTTTCATTTTTCAGTCTTATTTTTCCGTAGAGTTATTATCCAATTTACTT